TTACAAAAAAAACCCCCCCCCCCCCCCCCCTTTTGCTACCCTACAGTCCTTTTCTCTCTATCTCTCTTCGTTTTCTGGATCAAAGTTGTTTGTAATTTTTTTTTTCCTTCTTCGATTTTTGTTTGAGCTCATTAGTCGCTCATTTGGTGAGTAATTGTGTGTGTTGGATGATTTATGTTCATTTTCTGGATCTGAAGGTTTGAGAATTGGGGACGAGTTTGTGTAATTATTGAGAGGGAAACTCATTATTATTTATGTACTTGTAAAGAATCCGGGCAGGGGTGATTTGGAGATTATTTTGAAAATAGATGGGGGAAAGTGAGGGAAGCGAATTCCCTCCAAAAAAGTTGCAGCAATCGGAGACTGCAGATTTTCCGGCCAAAAAGCTAGCCAGACAGCTAGATTTCACACAGGGTGTCCTTCCTGAATTGCAGCCATCGCCTGTGGTGGTTACCCCGGCGTCCGCGCAGTGCCAACCGCTGCCGCAGCCTCACCCACAACCGCAACCACAGGTGGTTTCGATTCCAGGGGCAACGCAACAGCAGCCAGCAGCGAGGGCTGTGTGAGTTAAAGTTTGATATTTTTGAAAAAAAAAAAAAACTGCCTTGTGAGATTGTATATGTGGATTTTACTGGGTAAATTACTGAATCTTGCAAGTTTTCATTTGGAAGAATTGATGTCAAACAAATGGGAAATTTACCATTTTGTGGGCTTGATTGGAGTTTTTGTTTGGAAGTTTTGATTTTGGAGTTGCAAAGTTGTCATCTTTGCGAATTTTTGAGGGTTCTTGTCACTGCTCTTTCTCTCATTAATTCTAAATTTCCTTTTTATTTTTTGCAGAGGTGCAGTTTTTAATTTTTTTTTTTCCAAAGAGAGTTTGCTTAGTTTTCTTTGATCCAGGGATGATGGGCCTGATGTTTTGTTGAGGTCATCTTCGAATTAGATTATAACAAAGGAAATCTATTCGCCCCCGCCCATTGAGTAGCGAAAGAAATGAAACATTCTTGTAAATGTGATTCCTTGCTATTGCATTTATTTTTCTTTTTTCTATCGGTGAAGATATTTCTGTGTATACAGGTCCATACCTTTTCAAATTAGATGCCTTTAGTGAATAAATGCTCTGAAAATGAAGTTGAGAGAAGATTTGGTAGATACAGACACACAGTTACTTTGCTACCATTGATCAAGACACGCAATTCGTTTTCCATTATAACTTTCTTTCATTCTTTCATCCATTATTTCTTTCCTAAGAGTCTAAGACTGCTCATTTCATTTCTTTTTTCTCCTTATATCCAGGAAACCAGAATCACCAAAATCAAGACCAAGACTGAATGCTGAATTGAAAGATGGCACTCCGAAGAAGCAAAAACAGTGCAACTGTAAACACTCTCGGTGCTTAAAGCTGTATGTACATCATCATCTTATTAATGTTTCTTCCATGGGATGATTTTCGGTTCTGCTTTAGAGTCAATGTATTGCTGTTTTCTTTTCCGATGAAATTTAAATCAAATATATCTTGGTACTACTTAATTTGGTCGTGGCATTTACTGCTCGCTTGCTTTTCTATTTAAGAATTTGAAAAACAGGTGTCAACTTGTTATAGAGTCTTATTTCAACAGAAAAAGAAACAATTTTGAACTCGTTTTCCATTCTTATATCCAGAAAGTACACATTTAAGTGCAACACTGGAGGTCTGGTACTACTCATCTCATGCTTTATGCGTGAAATGATTTTCATAAATGTAGAAATATTGCCTAGAACAACACCCAGGCAGCTTGCTTGAATCATTTTTAAATTATGGGGCCTGCTTTCTGTGCTTCAGTCACATGATACCCTAGCAATTTCTGTTTAATAGATTTTGAGTTTGCTAACTTTCCTGGCTTTCTGGTAACGATATTATGTCAATTCTTGTACTGCACTGACTGGCTCAAGATATTTACTGATATATAATTTTTTCATGTCCTGAGCAGTTATTGTGAGTGCTTTGCCTCTGGAACATACTGTGATGGGTGCAATTGCGTTAATTGTTATAACAATGTTGAAAATGAGGCTGCCAGGCGAGAAGCTGTCGAAGCAACTCTGGAGCGCAATCCAAATGCATTCAGGCCAAAAATTGCAAGCAGCCCACATGGAACACGGGATAGTCGGGTACATAGGCTACTTTTCAGCTGAATGCTTTTATGAAGTTTATTAACCAAATATTTATTTCAAATGGGAGCCTTTATCATATATAGCCATTCCTTTGTCTTTGCTTTTCCTCATTTCTTGTTGGAACAGGAGCCAGGATACCCCTGTATCTATTTTCCATTTTTTGATGTAATTTAAATGAGATATTTTGTATCTGAAGCTATAGTTACATTTTATCTTTGATTGTGAAGGTTTTGAGTGGTGGTTGTCTTTTTATCTTTTGCTTTGTGCATGAAAGTGTTGCACTACTTGAGATGTGACATAATTTGCAACAATAAAAAAATTGACAATCCTTTTATTATTTCCTTTTTGTCTTGAATGCCATTTTCAGTATGAAATTGCCAAATAATTTTGTCCTAGACAGTGGAATCATATTCGAGGGTTCATTGTCGGAGGGTTCTTATACTCTAGTTCTCTTTGTTTTCCATCCTTTCATTGATGGATGATGTTTCTTTATTTTGTTATTCTGCTCATTTTCATTATTAATAGAACTTCATCTATCAAAATATTCAGTAGATATCAAACCTTTTCCCTTTGAATTTTTCACTGAAATAAATCCTCATGTGCCGAACTTTTTAATGTGGCGTTTGCTTCATTTATGTGGAATTTATTCATTAAGAAAATTACAGAACACCATTATGATAGATGCATAGGTAAAAACTCATTGCTTGTTATTGTTGAATTTAAATGAAGTACCTTTGTTTAGAATTCATTGGAGGTGTTGTTGGCCATCATATGAAATGGTTGGAAACAATTGCAGGAAGAGACTGGGGAAGGATTGGTGTTTGTAAAGCACAATAAGGGATGTCACTGCAAAAAATCTGGATGTCTCAAAAAGTACTGTGAATGTTTCCAAGCAAACATTCTTTGTTCTGAAAATTGTAAATGCATGGACTGCAAGAACTTTGAAGGAAGTGAAGAGAGACAGGCACTCTTTCATGGTGACCATGGCAACAACATGGCATATATTCAACAGGCTGCAAATGCTGCAATAACTGGGGCTATTGGATCTTCTGGCTATGCTTCCCTGCCTGTATCTAGGAAGAGAAAAGGTCAGGAGCTTTTCTTTGGGCAGACAGTCAAGGATCCGTCATTTCACAGGCTTGGACATTTTCAACAGGTAAATGTCCTCATAGCATATTTGGTTAATTCTGTATCGAAGAGAACTTTTTATATGCAATGATGATTTTGTAAAAGTTACCTAATCTAAGCAGTTTACAATTCGATGCATAGAACAAGCCATTAGTTTATAGAGACGAACCGGGAAGAAGAAGATAGACATAATCATAAAACTAGCTTCTTCTGTCCCTGAGTTGCAGTTCAAGTTTGCAAATTACATCCTTATTGCTATTTGTAGGATCCTTTGGTTTGGTACTGAATCATCATATTTGGGTACTGGTCTATAGCACATGACAGTGTTACTTTGTGTTTTTTGCATTCGCAGGCTAGCCACATCAGGCCTGCTGCGCCCTCCTCTCCATTGCCTTATAATCCTGTTGCTCGAGCTGGTAACACTACAACATTGGGCTCATCAAAAATCACATACAGGTATAGTGGCTGGCTTGTCTTCATGAAAACATTACCAATATTTGTGTTCAAAAAACTAACTTTCATGTCATGATTGCAGGTCTCTCTTGGCAGACATTATCCAATCACAGGACTTAAAAGAACTTTGCTCAGTTTTAGTGGTTCTGTCAGGAGAAGCTGCCAAGACGCTTTCAGGTGTAATAATGCTCATATATGTTAAATTGTTTTTACTCGTTCAGAATGTTTTTTTTTTACTTTATAAAAAACAATGATAGAATTTTCATTTCTTGAAAAATTAACTGGTACAACAAATATACAAAGGCATTGCAAATCCTCCAAAAGGACAGTATAATTACTTGGAAGTGGATTATTGAAAATTTCCCTAACATTTGTGTCTTGAATCACTAGCTTAGCAATGATGTGAGCTGCTTTATTTCCAGTTCTATAATCATGGTAGCACCCAGAAACACCAACCAGCTGCCTGAGATGTATGCAAAAAACTATGAGCTCTATATCCCACGAGACTGGTCCATCATGATTAATTTCCTTTATGAGATCCAAACAATTGCACTCAATTACCATATCATGCCAACCCTTTTCTATTAACCAGGAAAGAGCTTCCTTAATAGCTAAAGCCTCCATAATCTTTGGATTAGAAGAAACACACTTGCAGAAAGTAGGTCCACAGCTACAAAAGAGCCTTGACTATCATGCAAAACCATTCCCAAACAACCACTGGGTGACTGATTATTCCAAGAGGCATTCACCTTACAAATGGAAAAACCTTGAGCAGGAACACACCAGCTCCTAATTGCAGAAGCAGTCGCAGTAGAACTAGCTGATCCCCTGTTAAGCAAGCTACCACAAACAGCTTCAACATATTCAAGCCACTGGTTCAGAATGTTTAAGTACAACATGTACTTTTATGCTTTATATTGCCTTTGTTCATTTGCATGATCTTCCTTTGATTTGAGTATCAGAATAGCTCAAATTTGTTTTCCATGCTTTATTTATTAGAAATCTTGATTATATTTTCCAACTGCTGACTTGTTCTAACAAGTGTATCCCTTAGTTTGGCTGAGCTGCATGCATTCAGCTTTCTGACCCTTCTCTAGCAAGTCAGCGATAGAATTTCCCAGATCATGCTTCAAAGCTGTCAACACCCCCCCAACAAATTCTCGTGCAGGTTGCTCCATTATTCACCTGCAACAGAAGATATCTTCCATGTCTGCTTTCCACTCAATACTCCATGTGACAAGTGTTCTGTTCCCATGCTCCATCCCTTCTTGGTCTCCAAAAGTTTTATGAGATGCTTGTGGCCATGCATGTCTGCACTTTTTTATATTTTCTTTTCCCTGTCCTTAATATTCTGCTCTTTTCAAGCCGGCAACTTTCTTCTGAATGTGTATTTTCAAAACTGACTGGATTATCTGTGATTTCTGTGTCCAGTTTGGTTTGCTACTGCTCATATTTTTGAGCTATGTTCCCAGGGTTAGCTTGTTAAACCTCTATGTCTGAGATTTTCAAAAAGTTGGTTTGCTACAGGAGGGGCTGGGACTTGATGTAGTTTATTACATTTCCTCCACCATGTGAGAAGCAGTCAGCTTCATATTTGTTACTATTTGCAAATTTTTTATGGTAAACCAAGCACTCCTAACTAATTAGATATACAAAAAAGTGCAACTACTTGTCCATTGTAAATATGTTAATGCTCTGTAGCCTTATTCTATTCTTGAAAAATAAACACTGAATTGTGCAGAGCTATAGCTGGTCTGACAAATGGGTGATCTTTGAGAATGTTGACATGTTATGAAACAAGAAATGTGAGCACTGAACCAATATCTAATGATTGGGCTTTCCTTTGAAATTCTTGTATGTCCAGACCAAAGAAATTCAATGAAAAAGCAAGTAGAAGATCAAAGAGACACTTTTCTTGCTTCATCTACCCAAGAAAGGTTGCAGAGCCAGAAGGAATTTGATGCTGATAAAATTGTTTCTAATGATTGTTCGAGTGCAAACCATGCTAATGAAGGAGGCCTCGACGATTCCAGCTTAGATGGTGTTGATATGCCAAAAGGAAGGCCAATGTCTCCTGGGACTTTGGCATTGATGTGCGATGAACAAGATACAATCTTTATGGCTGCTGCTTCCCCCAATGGGTTGATGGGCCATGGCTGCAACACTTCTTCACAGCTGCCTTGTGGACAAGGCATGGCAGAGGCTCATGCAGAGCAAGAAAGAATTGTTTTAACGAAGTTTCGAGATTGCCTTAATAGGCTCATCACATTCGGGGAAATAAAAGGCAAGTTCCTCTCCTTTTGCCAAATTTGTACACACTAATGGCTCTAGAAAAGGGAAATGCTAGGTCTAGAATTTTTAGATGATATATTCACGTTTAATGACAAGAAACTAGTATGTCCTAATACATATTGCTAAGTTGTCTATTTTATCAAACATTTCTCCAAAATAAACATTACTTTTTAATTCTTATTGTTACTTTGTTAAATTTGAAAATATATCACCTTAATGGAAGTTATAGATACTTGTTTTCTCATAGTGTCCAAAAGACAAATAGCCTCTTTGCAATCAGAAAGTTGCATTTGCTAGAATTTGTTTCTTACATTAGGAGGAGCATTGGGCCTAGGGTTCCAATAGGAATAGCCCTTTTCCACCCCTTAAACCATACACATGTTCTCCATTGGCTTTGAAGTTTTGAACTCAGGACCTCCATAGTTGGAGTTGGAAGGTCAAACCTTTAGGGTGTACTCCTGTGGATGTGCAATTAACTACAATCAGCTACTGTAATTACATATGCTACTAGTTATGTAACTTGCCTTTAGGGTTTACCCCTGTGGATGTGCCATTAACTGCAATCAGCTTGTAATTACATATGCCACATGTTATGTAACTTACCTTTTCCGTTAGTCAATTGTGATGGTTTGGGCTTTCTGATTACAAGGGTTGTCTTTAGCTGCACCACTGTAAGGTGCCATGAATTTCAAATTCATAGTTGTGATCTATGTTCTTATAATTAGTGAATTATATCTTTTAATTGCTTCAAATATTGTGAAATTTAAACAGAAACGAAGTGTTCATCATTAGCCAGAACTGAGCTGGGGAATGAAAAAGGTCCACCCAGCACAGGTTTAGCAAATACCAGAACTCGAACAGGGAGTCAACAGGGACCCTTTAGCAATGGGGTTGTTAAAGTTCCAGCAACTGCCAAACCACCCCAGATGGTTACTTCTATAGTTGCCACCTCTAGCAGTGATCTTAAAAAAATTCCTAGCCTCCCACAAAATGGAGATAAAAAGCTGAAGTCTTGAAAAGAAATGTAGACATTTTAGCTCTGAAGACTGGCCCAAGGTACGCTACAGAACCTCTGCAATACTACTACAATGCTCATTCTGACTTCAATGCTGATGCAGTCTCTAGGTAGTATTTGGGCCTGGTTGTTGGAACTGACCAGGATTGGATTTATTGCCCTCGTAATTAATATATTACATAGTAGTGTTTCTGTTTCAACCATAATTCAAATCCAGTGGTATAAGTTGCTGAGCCTTACAAATGCACAGGATATGGTTTCTATGATTACTTGCAGTTACCATCATAGATTGTATCTTTAGATACTAGGGATTTTCTTGTTCTATTTACGTTGTTGAAAGCAAAGAGCAAATTTATAATTTTTAATGGAATATGAAATTTCAAGTTTGATCCTTGAACTAAAAGCAGAAACATTTTTTCCTGTTAGTGTAGTGATCCTGTTCCCACTTGCTGATTGTCTCTGCAGTCTAGATTCTACATTCAATACTGGTTATTTTCATAGGATGGGGTTGCCTTCGTCAAAAAGTAAGGGGTTTGGTATCCTTCGCAGTTTCTGGAAACAGAGTACTTGATTGGGTTTGAATACAATCAAGCTTATGAATTCATTGTTATCATTTTTGTCAACCACTTTGGTTTTGAGGTATTTCGACAATGGACTGTTGGCTTTTCATGTCTTTATTAAAAAAAAAAACCAATAAGCTTTCTGTTTCTGGTTTCGAATTTGACTTCTAAAAATAGGCAAGGGAAATGTTACTAAACTTTCTGGTTGCTTTTGATATGTTTGAAAAATAAATAGCCCTTAGTTTGTGGCCTTTTATGCCTACATTACCAGTAGGTTGTTTCCCGTATGTGATTTTACTTTTGGCAACAGCTGATATGTAGACGAGATGGAATCAAGGAATTGATCATTAATGTGGTCTTCAAAGTCAGACAGTTATACCGTGAAAAAAGAGGAGATTTTGACCCATTTGGCCTAAAACCCTGATGCACCTTCTCAGCATAACCAAAACAAGTCGAATGTTGCAAAAATGTAGATGGAGAAAGAGAAGGTTGAAAGAGATGAACATTTCAAGAGGGCCGATGGTGAGGAGTATAGTGGTGCATTAAAATTAGATGGACTACACTTTTTGTGAAGTTAGTTTTTTTTTGAATATTATACAAGCAGTGAAAACTAAAAAATAAAGTTATACGGTAGTTTCTAAAATCTGATAAATCTAGAGTTTAGAAATTTATTATTTAAAGATATAATTTTTTTTAGTTTTAAATAATTTTTTAAAGATTGGATTGTTGTAAATTACAAGCTGTTTAATTGTTTAGTTTTTAATGATAATTCACATGAACTATCCGTAAAAAATCTCATAAATCTCTATATAAAAAAGAAAGATTGTTATGTTTAGAGTGTTAGTTTTAATATTATGTTTACATAGGTTTTTTTTATCTAACAGATAACTACACTAAATAAAAGGTATAATTTACTATTTATAGGAAAATTTGAGAAGCTTTATAATTGATAAAATATCAATTTGCTTTTTGAATAATATTTATATATTAATTTAGGATAATTTTAGAAATCAACCTAATCAAGTTCCTACTTGATTTTTCTAGATTTAGAAATATAATCTTTATATTAATTATATTCTAGTATTTAATTTCTAAAATATATTTTAATTAAGTTATACTTAATTAAATAATCTTAGTTTAATTAGAATTAATTTCTAATTAATGGTTTTTAATGTGTATGACTTATTAGGTTTCTAATATGTTGATCTAAATATAAATTATAATTATAATTAAATAAATTAAATAATTTAATTTATTATTAATTCAATAATTAATTAATTTATATTTAAAGATCAGATGTATCCTCTATTAATATGTCATGATTTCTAAATATTAGTAAAGTTATTATTGGTTTGACTTAATTTTTTAGTGATTAGTTTCTTAGTGTAGTTAATATCCTTTCATCAATAATGTTTTGATTTAGTATAAAAACATGACATATATTTCTATGTTAAATCATTTTTATTCTCTACATAATAGTTATTGATCGTTTGAATAAGATTTGATTTTTTTTTTCAAATCTTATTCCATCTTAGTCAAGAATTTCTTAGTCAATATTATTTGAGAATAGATGAAACATTTTTTTTAATTCATCTAGGGTGATGAATCTTCTCTTGATCACTCAAACATCTTCATATAGTTTATGTTATATCTAATGTTTGCTTTTTTGTTATCTCATTTAAGATAATATATAATAAGATCAAAACATAACATTCTCTTTATAAGATGATTTAATAATCTCAAGTCTATGGATTATTTTTAGAATCATCACATGAGCTTTTTTATAGTCATGTGATTTCCCCATATAAAACTCTTATACAGGTCAATTCAATGTTCAAGTCTTAAGATAAACACTTACACATTAGTTTTAGGTATCCTTAATTTATGAAAATAACTGTTTTCTTTCATAAAAGAAAATAATATAATATGCATCAATTCTTACAACTATAATAAATATTTAATATTTAAAAGAGTATCGACTAAGAACATTTTAGGAATAATGTTTTGATGCAATAAGAATTTTATAATTATAATTATAATAATTTTATAATTTTCTTTACAAAATATTTTTATCTTATGAACTTTATCTTTATTCTAGATTTATTAATCTAATATTATATGAATCATAAAGATAAATTAAGCTTTTATTAATAATAAATATATATTTACATTAATATAATAATGTTAGTTGTAACCAATTAATTGGTTACAAGACATATTAAACTAATAATCTTTTACTTGCACTAAAATCAATTGCTCATTTGTCTAATATCATATTGCTCAATGTAACATTAATGCATTTACATGGATGATGACTTCATAAGATGATCTAGATTTTTTTAGGTGGTACTCACTCTATCTTTATGTCTTTAATTTTATTGATTTATCAAATCAAATCTTATTTGAAGAGATCTTGGTTCTTATGTTTATACAATGACTTCATTGTTATTACGATATAAGGCAATTGGATCAACAATGTTAGGAACCAACCTAGTTTATTAATGAATTTCTTGATGCAAATAACCTTTTTGTTTCTTTAAATGTGGAGGTGTAGTTTTATTTAGTTATAGGATCAATTGTGCTCTCAACAATGCTAAGAATCAATTTAGATAATTGATGAATTTTTTAATTCAATCCTCTCTATTTTCTTAAATGTGGAGGTGTGCTCCTATTTAATTGTAAAATAAATTATGTTTTTTTGTTTGTATTTTTTTCAACTCAGAGCACTACCATTTAAAGCATTACCATTTAGAGTAATATATATATATTGATTGATATTTATTATTTTTCCAACATTTTATTGAAATTTTTTTTAATTCAAATAATTTTGAATTTCTAGTTTATCTTCTCCATTGATGGATTCTATGCTAGGTATAGGATACCATTTTCATTATATATCTCTCAATTTATGTCTTAGAACACATGTCTTTAGAGGAAGGTGTTTAATGCAAAATAGATAAGAATCAAATTTTATATTCTTTCATACTAAGCTATTTTGATATTAGTCTATATACATGGATTGAGATAATTTAAGCAACTTTCTAGTGTATCTCTATAAATCTCTATATTCAATATATAGGTTGTTTTTTTTTCTAATTTTTTCATGGAGAAATTCTTGCACAACCCAAAAAAATTATTGATTAAAGAAATGATATATATATATATATATATATATATATATATATATATAACAATAAAAAAAAAACTC